CAGTTTAGCAGTATTAGAAGGGAGTACATTTTATGAAAAATAATTAAAATAAGTGTTAGAAATGTTGCTTAGTAGAATACTTGCCTAGCATGCATGAAGCCCTAGGTTCAATTCTCAAAGCTGTAAAATCAGTTGGTCAGTTATTGAAGTTGTGAGTTCAAAATATCTTCCCTAAGTTTTGAGTGTAAAAACTATTGATATATAGATATATCACCTTTTTTTGTTTGTTTGTTTGTTTGAGAGGGTCTCACTATGTAGCACTGACTGGGCAAGAACTCCCTATATAGACAAGGCTGGCCTCAAACTCATGAGATTCACCTGCCTCTGCCTGACCAGTGTTGATATTAAAGGTCTCTGCCACCACGCCCATAACCTGCACGAATTGAACTTCAGTTTAAGCAAAATTCCTTTATTGTTCCCTTAAAGATATTTTTCATGATTACTAGTGATTAATTTTTCTGTACTATAGTCTACTTTTCTCTCTGCAAATAACAACCTTCCCCCCTTTGTTCTTTCGTTTTTTAAAAATATTTTTTTATTATTATTATTATTTTTAATGTGTATGAGTGTTTTGCCTACATATCAGTGTACCTGTGTTGTACAATGCCCTCAGAGGCTAGAACGGGGTGTCAGAGCCCCTGGAACTGGAGTTACAGACTGTTGTTAGCTGCCATGTGGGTGCTGGGAACCAACCTTGTCTCAAAAGACCAGAAAAAAAAGAAAAAATATATTTAAAATGAAAAGAGCAGTTAGTGCTCTTAACCACTGAGCCATCTCTCCACCCCTTGGATTTTCTTTTTGTTTTGCTTAATGATTTTTATTTATTTTATGTGTATGAGTGCATTGCCTGCATGTGCATAAGTGCACTGCTGTCATGTGTTATCCTTGGAGGTCAAAAGAGGGCATTGGATCCCCTGGAACTGGAGTTACTGATGGTTGTTAGCCACCATGTGGACTCTGGGAATCCAACCTGGGTCTGCTGCAAGAGCAGTCAGTGCCCTTACCCGTTTAGCCATCTATCTCTTCAACCCTAAATATTAATTTGTTTTTTTCATTTTTATTTATTTTTATTTTACATATATGCGTGTGTTTGCCTGCATGTATGTATGTGTAACATGGGAGGCCAGAAGAGGCATTGGATTTCCTGGAATTGGCATTAAGGACAGTTGTTAGCCATTGTGTGGGTGCTGGAACTGAACCTGGCTCTTCTGCAAGTGAGGTCAGTGCTCTTAACTGCTAAGCCATCTCTCTAGTCCCTTTTTTAGATTTAAAAAATATATATTTTATTATTTTTATTTTATGTGTATGAGTGTATTGCTTGCATGTATGTAAGTGCACCTGTGTTGTGTGCAGAGATCAGAAGAGGGCGTTGGATCCCCTGGAACTGGAGTTAGGACAGATGTTAGCTGCCATGTGGGTGCTGGAGATCAAACCCAAGTCTTCTGCAAGAGCAACCAGTGCTCTTAACCACTCAGCCATCTCTTCAGCCCCCGTTTTTGGTCTTTTTGAGACAGGATCTCCATGTAGCCCTGTAGACCAGGTCGGCCTTGATCTCATAGAGATCTGCCTGCCTCTGCCTTCTGAATGCTGAGACTAAAGATGTGCACCACCATGCCTGGCTGTTAGTTTTTAAAACCCAAAGTTGTTTAATGAACATAAAAAGTAAATTTGTCTTTTTAAAAAAAGTTATTTGTATTACATTTTATTTATTTATTTATTCATTTATTGATTGATTGATTGATTGATTGCATGTGTGTCTGTCTGGTGGGGGCATGGGCCTGCCGTGGTGCACATGTAGAGGCCAGAGGCAACTTGAAGTTTCTTTTTCCCCTCATGTGGGCCCTCAGGGATAGAACTCAGGTCATCAGGCTTGCCAAAAAACACCTTTACCCACTAAACCATCATGCTGGCTCAGATTTGCTTTTCTAGTTGTTTTTTTTTTTTTTTTTTTTTTTTTTTTTTTTTTTTTTTTTAACCTGTAGTCCCAGCTGACCTGAACTCACTGTGTTGACCAGGCTGGCCTTGAACTCACAGTGATCCACCTGCCTCTGCCTCCTGAGTGCTGGGAGTAAAGGCATGTGCCGCCATTCCTGGCTCTAGTTGTTTTTTTTAACAACAAACATTTGCTGCATTACTGATTTATATGTGCTATATTACACAAATAAAAATAAACTGCATCCTGGAAGAGGTGGGCTTGTAAAATCATGCTGTTCTTGAATGTGGGCTTTAAAAGAGGTGGGAACAAAGTTTGTCCCTTAGTGCATAGAGAATCTGTCCAACTCACAAGAGAAAGTAGAATTTGCTGACCAGGGAAGGTTATTCTGCACATTGGCTTCAGTTTTCTACAGCTTGACTTTTTTTTAAACTTTTTTTTTTTGGTCTTTTAGAGACAGGGTCTCCCTGTAGCCCTGTAGCCCCAGCTGTCCTGGATTCACTATGGATACCAGGCTGGCTTTGAACTCACAGAAGTCCGCCTGCCTCTGCCTCCGAGTGCTGGAATTAAAGGCGTGCACCACCATGCCTGGCCTTAAACTCTTTAAAAAATTAGTTTTATGTTTATGTGTGTTGCCTGCATGGATATAAGTGTACCTGTGTATGCCATGCCCACAGAAACCAGAAGAGGGTGTTGGATCCCCTGTAACTGGAGTTAGGGATGGTTATTAGCCACCATGTGGGTGCTGGGAACTGAACCTGGGTCCTTTGGAAGAGAATAGTCAGTGCTCTTAACCAATGAGCCATCTCTTCAGCCCCCTCAACTCTTTAATATGATAACAACTGATTTTGTGGTCAGTTTGAAAAGAAATTGAAGTAATTTTGTCTCCTTAATAAATCGACTCACCTTTTTCACATCTCCTTTTGTAAAAGTTTTAAACAGTTTCTAGGAAACACATTCATAATAGGTAAATTCCACTAAATTAGCAGTCAAAATCTGATTTTCTTTCCCCTCCAATTCCTCCATGAAAACACTATTTAATAAAGAAAAGGTTGGGATTTTTTGTTGTTGTTGCTGTTGTTTTTGAGACAGGGTCTCCCTGTAGCCCCAGCTGTCCTGGAACTTGCTATGTAGACCACACTGGCCTCAATCTTACAGATAAGATCTAGAATGGCTGCCACACACAGCCCTCAAAATACTGTGTTTTTAAAAACCTTTATGAAAATAGATTTGACCCTGGTACTTAAAGGGTGTAATGGTTTTCAGTAGTTTTCTGTTTAGTCATTTGGAATGCATAAGTTAAAAGAGTGTTGTGCATCAATGCATCATTCTGTAGTTAATGAATGTGCTTTAGTTAAATTAAATGTCTTAGGAAAGATATAATCTTCACTACCACCATATAAAGTGACCTTGATTTAGCAGAACAAGCATTGATTATAAGTTTTTAAATGATACTGGACTTTTCATTCCACTCTCACCAATATCTGATAAACATACTGGATGTTCTTACCATTTGGATGTTTTACCATTATTTCCTCTTATTTGATACTTTTTTCATTGGTACCAAGTATTCCCAGAATTATGAATGAATGTGAATATGCAGTGTCAGAATTTTGTCTTAGAATGATTTGCTTGATAAATGAACTCTGTAACAAGTATTGATGGCACAAGTTATATATTTTAAAAATGAGTAGTTTGAGGCTGGAGAGATGGCTGCCCTTGCTGAGGACCTGGGTTCAATTCCCAGCACCTACATGGTGACTAACAACAGTCCTTAATGCCAATTCCAGGGGAATTTGATGCCCTCTTCTGACTTTCACTGGCATTGTGCAACACAGGGACAGGTACAGTTACATACATTCAGGCAATATACTCAGACACATGAAATAAAAAATAATAAATAAACATAAATAAGCTATTTTTAAAAAGAGAGTAGGGCCAGGCATGGTGGCACATGCCTTTCATCCCAGCACTTGGGAGGGAGAGCCAGGTGGATTTCTGTGAGTTCAAGGCCAGCCTGGTCTGCATAGTTCCAGGACAGCTAGGGCTACAGGGAAACCCTGTCTCAGAAGAAGAATGAGTAGGGAGAGATAGCTCAGTGGTTAATAGCACTATCTGCTCTTGCAGAGGACCCAGGTTTGAGTCCCAGCACCCAGATGGCGGGTAACTCCAGTTCCAGGGGTTCTGATGCCCTTGTCTAACCACTGTGGGCATTGCACAGCACAGGTGCACTTACATATATGCAGGCAATACACTCATACACATTTTAAAAAAAAAGAAAAAAATAATAAATTAAAAAAAAGAATGAGTAGTTTACTAAGCAATATATTAAAGAGAGGTGGTTCTCTTGTAGTATTGTTTAATAAAGCTGATGTAAGGCTGGGTGTGGTAGCCCACACCTTTAATCCTAGCGCTTGGGAGGCAGAGCCAGGTGGATTGTGAGATTAAGGCTAGCCTAGCCTGGAATACATAGTGAGTTCCAGGCCAGTTGGGGCTATAGGGAGACCCTGTCTCAAGAAGACCAAATATTTTTTTTTAAAGTGTATGAGTGTTTCACATGTTTGTGAATGCACTGTGTATATGCAGTGCCCAAGGAGACCAGAAGAGGACATTAGATCCCTTCAAACTGGAGTTATGGATGGTTGTCAGCTGTCATATGGATGCTGGGGACCGAACCCAGTTCTCTGTAAGAGTAGCCAGTGTTGTGAACTACTGAGCCATCTCTGTAGCCCCCTAACATGTTTTTTTAAAAAATAAATTTATTAGCTGGGTGTGATGGCTCACACCTTTAATCCCAGCACTTGGGAGGCAGAGGCAGGCGGATCTCTGTGAGTTTTGAGTTTGAGGCCAGCCTGATCTACAGTATAATGAGTTTCAGGCAGCCAGAGCTAGACAGTGAGATCTTACCTCTAAATAAATAAATAGACCAAAATGCAGCAAATTATTAAGTCAGCAATTGGAATGATACTACTGTTCATACTTACTAACTTATGAAAAGTTATGTAGATCATTACTTTTTGTGATGTTGTAGAACGTTTTTAAGTTGTGACTTCTTTTTAATTGACAGGTGCATCCCTTGTAAAGGTTCTCGGTTTCCTCCCACCCTTCCCCGTCCTGCTGTAGCTATATTAGCCTTTAAGCTTCCATACTGTCAGGTTGCAACAGAGAAAGGCCAAATGGAGGTATGTGGAAGTCTTACCTTGATACTCTAAATCTGATAGTAAAATACCTGTAACACAGATAGTTTTGAATTACCACAATGGCCCATTTTTAATATTACTCTAATAAATAGTGGCAATAGGGACACTGCTTATGATCACAGAGCAGCTGGTGTGGTTGTCATTATGGCTTCTAAGGACTTGCTGCAAAGTAAATGATTATGACTGGCAGGGCCTTACTAGGGTCAAGCAAGTCCTCTGTACAGTCTGACCATAAACACTGGCTCATCCATCTCTAGACCTAGCCCTATGTCAAAGTCATTTGAAATTTTACAGTTATTCTAAGTAGGAAACAAATCATCTTCGAAACTAGTTTGCCAAGTTCTCTGAGAAAGAACGGTGCTAAGAAACTAAAATACTGTATACATACACATCTTTTTTAAGGATAAAGACAGTCAAGCTATAATAAATTTGAATTGTAAAAAAAGCTTATATAGAAAGGGTTTCAGAAAATATTCAAAACTTGATATCTTAAGATAAATACCTAACCTTGTCTAGTATTAAGGTAATGTTTAGCTCTATGTCATTTTACCTATTTTTGCAGGAACAGTTTTGGCGTTCAGTTCTGCTTCACAACCACCTTGATTACTTAGCTAAAAATGGTTATGAATATGAAGAGAGTACTAAAAATCAAGCAATAAAAGAACAACAGGAACTTTTAATGAAAATGCTTGCAGTGAGTAAAATGTACTGAAAATTAAACTTTAATGCTTTTCTGTGGGTTACATTTCTTAAAGGTATGTAAACACTAAATTCTACCATGTAGGATTCATAGATTTTTATATCAAATGATGTTTTTCTCTCTTAAAAATTCTATTTCCCAAGCCAGGCATGGTGGCACATGCCTTTAATCCCAGCACTTGGGAGGCAGATGCAGGTATTCTCTGTGAGTTCGAGGCCAGCCTGGTCTATATAGCAAGTTCCAGGCCAGCTGGGGCTATAGGGAGACCCTGTCTCAAAAAGAT